GTTGGAGAAAAACACCTGTGACAGGTCTGACAGGATTGGAAGCCCAGGATTTTGGGCATAATCCCTTACTTGAAGCTTTGGTTTAAGGTCTTAGTTAAAAAGGCCCAGACTGGGAAAACAAAACAAAACAAAAAAAGAAAAAGGGTAACCCCTCCCTCCCCCCGTAAAAAGCACAAAATGTGCTAAATAACAGAAAAAGAAATAAAAGGTCTAAAATAATAAGAAAAAATAAGCAAAAGAGGTGGCAAACCACGTAGCTAGCTAAGGGACACTGATGTTCCATCTCGAGCCACAGGTGGCTGAGAAGGAACTGAAGTTGTGGTGGGTCCACCCTTCCCCCATATATGCTCATATCAGAGAATGAGGATCTCTAGGGCACAGACAAGGACTCTGCTGATGAAAACGCCAATCTTGAAGTGGAGGGCACATAAGGACACAACTTGAAGGAAAACTAAAACTTTCAGAAACTATATTTGATGTAGCAAATCTTCCAGCTTTTTAGAAACCAGGATATTGCTTTGACAAGACACAAGAAGTTAGGATTTCTACTGCATTAAACCCAGCTAAAGGGAACAAACTGACAGCTTTTGCCATCTCAACCATCTTGTACTTCCTACATCAGAGAAACAAAGTTCCAGTAGACTGTTTAAATGCTTACAAAAATATTTCTGTATAAAACAACTTTTCTAAAAGTGATTTAATTTGCTGTTGGAGATTTCAAGACCAGCTCTCTTGCAACTTATGATTGTTCTTCATATTGGACAAAATGTACTAGGAGTGCATTTTTTAATATTAAAAAACAGGTGGCTGAGTGGTTTTCTAGATAAAAATCAAACCGCAATATTTCATTTACGGGGAAAACTAATGTCCCTTGGAAAATGACCTTCAATGGCAACATCAGTTTTCTAATATTGTGGATTTAAAAGTAAAGCTTGTTGCCCGTTGTTAAACTTAGCATGTGAGTGCATGCACTGAAATTAAGTAGAAACCATTTTAAAGCTCATTGAAGAAATGTAATAAAAATATCTGAGTATATTTTAACTTCCAAGAGTATTCCCAATTTCTACCCAAATGTCAGATTTTTGTCAATATAGTCAACATATACATGCATAAATGCACTTTCTAGAATGAAGTAGATGACAGGAGGAGGTTGTTTTTTTAAAAAAAGATGGTAATTATAAATTGTATGGCAATGCTGTTACTCTAATTTCTGAATTAGAGTATCTCTTTAAAAAAAAAAGTGAGAAGAATAAATTCAACCCAAACAACTAATATGTCAATTAGGTTTTTATATACACAAAGGCAGAAAAAATTCTTAGAAAAATATCCCAGCACATCTAGTAAGTAAGCAGATTGCTTTATGAACTTTTGGACCTCAATCTAAGGTCTTTGAAGTGCTGTTACTTACATTTTTCACCATCTTAGCTTGTTCATTAATGGCTTCCAGGGGAACATTAGTTGCTCCAATCTGCTGAGTGATACCACCTGCTTCACCGTCTTGTACATGAGTATGACGGAGCTATAAAACCAAAGGAATAAAGGGAGTACTGAATGCACAGGGAAAACAATAGAAATGGGAACCTGCTTACAGAAGGACATTTAAAATCATATCTTGGAAGTGTCATTAATTATTTCCTATTTATTTTGGAGAGAGTGTGTGTGTGTATATATATATATTTAAACAGTCTTTTTATTTAGGAAGTTGTAACACGTATAAGAACATAAGAACAGCCATACTGAGTCAGACAAATGGTCCATCTAGCCCAGTATCTTGACTTCTGACAGTGGCCAGTGCCAGATGCTTCAGAGGGAATGAACAAAATAGGAAATCCTCAAGTGATCCATCCTGTCATCCACTCCCAGCTTCTGGCTATCAGAGGCTTAGGGACACCCAGACCATGGGGTTGCATCTCTGACCATCTTGGCTAATAGCCATTGATGGACCTGTCCTCCATGAATTTACCTAATTCTTTTCTGAACCCAGTTATACTTTTGGCCTTCACAAACAAGTTCCACGTGCTGACTGTGAAGAAGTACTTCCGTATGTTTGTCTTAAACCTGATGCCTATTAATTTCATCGGGTGACCCCTGGTTCTTATGTAATGTGAAGAGGCAAATAATTCCTTATTCACTTTTTCCACCCCATTCGTGTTTTTATAGACTATTATATCTTCCCTCAGACATCTCTTTTCTAAACTGAACAGTCCCAGTCTTTAATTTCTCCTCATATGGAAGCTGTTCCATACCCCTAATCATTTTTGTTGCCCTTCTCTGTACCTTTTCCAATTCTAATATATCTTTTTTGAAATGGGGCTACCACAACACCACACAGTACTGAAGGAGTGGTGGTACCATGGATTTATATAGGGGCATGATTATATTCTGTTTTATTACCTATCCCTTTCCTAACAGTTCCTAACATTGTTTGCTTTTTTTAATGCCACAGCACATTGAGCAGATATTTTCCATTATTCATGATTACCCCAAAATCTCTTTCTTGAGCGGGAACAGCTAATTTAGAACACGTTATTTAGCATATATGGTTGGGATTATTTTTTCTAATGTACATTGCTTTGCACTTATCAGCATTGAATTTCATTTGCCATTTTGTTGTCCAATCACCCAGTTTTGTGAGATCCCTTTGTAACTCTTCACAGTCTACTTTGGCGTTTACTATCTTGAGTAATGTTGCATCTTGTCTGCACATTTTGCCACCTCACTATTTACAGATCATTTATAAATACGCTGAACAGCACAGGTAGCAGTACAGATCCTTGGAGGACCTGCTATTTACATCTCTCCACTGTGAAAAATGATCACTTATTACTACTCTTTGTTTCCTGACTTTTAACAAGTTACTGATCCATGAGAGGATCTTCCCTTTTAGCCCATGACTGCTTATTTTGTTTAAGAGCTTTTGGTGTGGGACCTTTTCAAAGGCTCTCTGGAAGTCCAAGTACACTATATCCACTGGATCACCCTTGTCCACATGCTTGTTGACCCCCTTACAGATTTCTAATAAGATTGGTGAGGCATGATTCCCCTTTACAAAAGCTGTGTTGACTGTTCCCCAATATACTGTGTTCATCTTTGTGTCTGGTAATTCTGTTCTTCACTATAGTTTCAACCAATTTGCCTGGTACTGAAGTTAGGCTTACTGGCATGCAATTGCCAGGATCAACTCTCAAGCCTTTAAAAAAAAAAATCAACATTACATTAGCTACTCTCCAAGAAATCTGGTACAGAGGCTGATTAAAGCAATAGGTTACATATCACAGTTCTGCCATTTCATATGTGAGATCCTTCAGAACTTTTGGGTGAATACCATCTGGAGTCTGGTGACTTAATACTGTTTAGCAATTTGTTATTCCAAAACCTCCTCTATTGACACTTCAATCTGGGACAATGCCTCAGATTTGTGACATAAAAAGAATGGCTCACACATGGGAATCTCCCTCACATCCTCTGCAATGAAGACCAATGCAAAGAATTCATTTAGCTTCTCTGCAACAGTTTTGTCTTCTCTGAATGCGCCTTTAGCACCGTGATCATTTAGCGGCCCTACTGGTGTTCGGCAGGGTTCCTATTTCTGATGTACTTAATAAATTGCTGCTAGTCTTTGTGACTTTTGCTAGTTGCTCTTCAAATTTTCTTGCCCTGCCCAATTATATTTTCACACTTGTCTTGCCAAAGTTTATGCTCCTACTGTAGAAAATAAAGGATTTGACTTAAAATTTTTAAAGGATGCCTTTTTGCCGCTGTTATTTAGCCATAGTGGCATTTTTTGGGTTCTCATACTGGTTTTTTATTGTTTTATTTGGGGAGTATCCATTTAGATTGAGCCTTTATTATGGTGTTTTTAAATTGTTTCCCATACAGCTTGCAGGCATTTCACTCTTGTGACTGTTCATTTCCATTTAATTAGTTTCCTCGTTTTTGTGAAGTGCCCCTTTTTGAAGTTAATTTCCCCCCCTGCAAGGATGTCAAATGTAATTACATTATGATCACTATTACTGAGCGGTTCAGATACATACACCTCTTGGATCAGAGCCTAACCATGTAATGATTATTGTATAGTGTCTGAAATTTACAACAGTAAGCTTTTGTTTAGAGAAACATTATACAGTAATATAATCCTGGGCTCCCTATTTAATAGGGTGTTTCCATATTACAGAATGAGTACATTTACAATAATCATGACAGGTCATTTCTCGTGATTTTATTAAACTGAGTGGAATCTCTGATTACACATTTAACAAACCAGGCATGTCCATCAAATGCTAATATTTAAAAAAAAAAAATACGACAGGTGCGGTGATTTGTTTGCAGGTGGAAGTATTCTGAGTATTAAGTAAATGGTAACCAAATATCTATTTGTCTGCTGTCTGTTTTACTGGGTACATTCATTTTTCCATAACCACCAACCTCCCTCCTGAGTTGGACTACTTTTCTTTTTCCAATGGAAAGCTATCAGAAGCCTAGCTGCTAACTAGCAGACAACAGATTAATTCTTCATTTTGTTGTGTGTGACCATTTCTGCTAGGAAGCCCAGGCAAGATTCCGAAAGGATCATCTGACAACAAATATCAAATAATTTGTGATATTTGGTTATGAATTGCAGCATCCCAGTACTCTTTAATGACTGGACATAAAGGTATAAAATCTCCTCTTCACCACAATTTTTCCAACATTTATCTCCACACATTTTCTATTTTTCATCCTGACTGGTATAAGGTACCGCTGAAACATTATCTTAGGGTACATCTACACTACAGGGGGGAGTCGATTTAAGATATGCAAATTCAGCTACGTGAATAGCGTAGCTGAATTCGACGTATCGCAGCCGACTTACCCCGTTGTGAGGACGGCGGCAAAATCGACTTCTGCGGCTTTTTGTCGGCGGCGCTTACTACCACCTCCGCTGGTGGAGTTAGAGCGCAGATTCGGGGATCGATTGTCGCGTCCCGATGGGACGCGATAAATCGATCCCCGAGAGGTCGATTTCTACCCGCCGATTCAGGCGGGTAGTATAGACCTAGCCTCAAATAAGTTTTCCCTTTATTGTGCTCTATATTGAGGTTGCTGGTACTCTTCCAGAACAAACCCCATTCCTCTGGGGTAATCTGTCTATACAGGTCCCTTTCCCAGCATGTGATATATGGACTTTTTTGGTTAGGAAAGTTATCTTGCATTGTATATTTACAAGCATTATAGGATTACTACAAGTTATTTCAAGCAGTAGCAGTTACATTACACTATTGAGAAATCAACTATTACAGAAACTTGACAATGAAGATCCATCACGCTCTGCATCTTACCTTATCTAGAATTTTGGTCTTTCCTGTGTCTACGTGCCCAAGTACACAGATAACCGGTGCTCTTAGCTTTTCAGTGTTTACATTTTTGTTATTTTCAATACGTCGTTTCTAATATGAGAATAAAATAAGACACGTTCAAAACTAGAGATTAATATTTGAAGTATTACAAAAACCAAGTGGAGAATTACTAATGTTTCCAGCAGCACCTTAAAAAGCTGGCAGGATTTTTGCACTCCCTCTCCAAGGCTTACTAAATACAATACTTCCATTACAATTCAATCTCCAGGGAGGGTTGGGGGCGGGGGGTATGCAGATTATGTGGACAGAAATGTTTCTAGTCCAAGTACAATTTTCATGGTATGCATCTGGATTCAATACATGTTGGGCTCTAGGTTGTTTATCTCCAAGCAGAACATCTGAGGTCCTGAGACTTGCAATAAGGCTAGCTCGGCCTTTTGCCCAGCTTTTTGGCACAGTTTAAAGATCAGAATTAAAGGTTAGCATCTTGGGAATTCAGGTCTAATTAAATTGATTCAAACTGTTTCAGTTAGATGGCTTTCATCAGATTGTTGCTTTTAAAATGGCAAACTGAGAAGGTTATCAGTTTCAAGTTATCCTACTAGTTATTCTTACTTCTTTCATCTGCTAAAGTATGGGTTTGTTGGGGATATATAGCAAAGGTGTTCTTTGGGACAAGTAATAGGGCTTGTAGTGTGTTTTACTATGCATATATTTCAAAATCTTCTTACCAGTTGACACCAATTCCTAGGCATGCATTAATGAAAGTTAGAGTTTCTAAATCTATTGTGCAGTATGCTGAAGAAGGGAAAAAAGAGCCAATGCAAAATGTCAGTAATTGAAAAAAAACTAATAGCATAGAAATGCTTCACTGAAATTCTAATAGCATTTACAAAGGATGGAGTGGACCGTGATGATGCCACATACTTCCACCCTTCAAGGAAGCTTTCCTCTGAAAAAAGAATCCTTCTGGAAGGCTAAAAAGTAAGTTATACTCCTTGCAGTTAGCTCATACAACCCCTGTACTGTGGTTTTAAGTCAAGATAGATGCAAGTCTGTCTAAATGCATTGATAAAAAAGAAGCTATATTAAGTACTGTTGAAAAAAATCTTAATTTTTTGCATAAAAATTATTTGTAAGTCTGTAAAGCACTGACAATCAGTTCATTGCAGACAGCTATGGACACATGCACTAATATATTGTTTGCAGTGTTGTTGTAGCCATGTCTGTCTCAGGATATTAGAGAGACAAGGTGGGTTAGGTAATGTCTTTTATAGGACCAACTTCTGTTGGTGAAAAAGACAAGCTTTCGAGCTTACAAAGACCTGAAAAAGAGCTCTGTGTAAGCTCAAAAGCTGGTCTCTTTCACCAACATAAGCGGTCCTATAAAAGATATTACTTTGTCCACTCATAGATTAGCAGTTATGACACAGTATTATTTTTAAAGTAATTTAGACAAGTATGGTTGAACAACCACTAAAATCCCCAAGATTTTTCATGCCACACAGATAAGCTTCGAGACAAAGCTGCATCTAGATACCTCAATTCTCCGCTTAGCTTTGTCATAAAGAAGCTCTTCTTTTGTACGATCATCATCAGAATCACATTCTGAATCGGAGCTTATTTCTTTGCTTGGCTTTTTCTCTACCGATTGTTTTCCAACAGCTTGAGACTCTGTTTCTCTTTCATCTGAAGTCTTTTCATCTTCATCTTCACTTCCCTCACTTTCTCCATCTTCAGACTCTTCACTCTCTTCCTCCTCGTCATCATCCTCTTCCTCATCTTCCTCTTCCACTTCATTGTGTTCCTTGACTTCAATGTGGACAGGTTTTACCTCTGGCAAGAGGAGAGATAAAACTGAAATAAAATACTCTGTCAAGATCACATCCCCAAAAACCACCATAAAGAGAAGTAGAACAGAACATGGACTAATTCTGGTTTATCTGTGTGAAGGAATAATTCAGCTGCACTAAGTATGGGAATAAACTTCTAAATTCAGAGCCAGTCAAAGCAGCATACATGAAAAATCAAAACAAAGCACTGCAATACAGTCAGTGCACCCATCAAGAATGATCCCTGCTGACCTAACGAGCCCTTTTCCAAATACCTGGAGTAATAAGATGTCTCTATTCAATTACACACCACGCACTTCACTTATAAATTTACATACAGTCAGTGCAGGCAAGAACTACTCCTGGGGGAATTCTGCACCACTGCACATGTGTAGAATTTATGTCCCCCACAAATTTCTTTGCTTCCCTGCAGAAAAATGACTGACGGGGAAGCAAAGGGAAGCCACAACAGTGCTCACGCAATCCTCCCCAGCAGTATGTTTTGGGTGCCCAGGGCAGCTGGCAGAGAGGTAAGTCACTGAGGGGCAGGGGGCGGGACTGGGGAAGACCAGTGGCTCCTACCCCGCGTCAGGCTCAGCTGCTAGTTCTGGATGGGCAGGATGTGACTTCCTCTTCCCCCGCATAGTATCTGGGTCAGACCCACCCCCAGATTTCTCCCCCAGCTGCAGGAAGCTCTGCAAACTGCCCCCTCTGCCGCTTCCTGCACCCATTGTTCCTCAGAGGCAGGGGAAGGGATCCCTGTAGAGGGAGCTGCTCCCCCATCCACCCACCCCCCCATGCATCCAGAACCCCTCATACCCAGAGCCACCCCCTCACATTCAGAACACCCTCCTCCCCTCCGCCCAGATCAGCCCCAAGCCCATCAAGCTCCCCGTACCCGGATCCCCACCCCACCAAGCCCCAACCAGCTGCATTGGATCCACACCGCATTGAACCCCTCTCCCCCAGCATCTAGACCCCCCACTGAGCCCTCCCCATACCCAGCTCTATTCCCCGCTCCAGACACACCCCCACTGAGCCTCAACCACCTTCACCTGGATCCCCCTGCAGAGTGCCATTACCGTTACACCCAGAATCCCCCAACAAGCCCCTGTGCAGCCAGATCCCTCCTGCACCCAGCTCCTCCATTGAGCCACCCGCATCCAGACTGCCCCCCACAGAACCCTCTCAACTCACACCTGAATCCCCCCACCCTGAACCCCTCCACACTTGGATCCTTCCTTGCTGAGCCTGCCTGTCCACACCTGGCGCACCTGGCACGGAGGGGTAGGGCCCTGGGGTGTTCCTGGAGCAGGCTTGGTCCTTGCGCTGTGTCAGGTTTGGGTGCAGCCTCACCACTGAGTCTGTGTCCTGGGTCGAAGCTGCACAGTGATTTCCCACCTCTGTGCAGCCAGTGGTCTGTGCTCCCCAATGCCATGCTGGAGCCTCCACATTTATTTGACAAAATAAATTTTCCAGACTCTTAAAATAGTGTGTGCAGAATTTTTTATTTTTTGGTGCAGAATGCCCTTAGGAGTAAAGAACTAACACTCCAAATCTAGCAAGTTCAATTTGGAGTCAATCAATTTTTCATTAGAAAGATGCTTTTGAAAGTTTCTAGAACTCAAGGAATTTGTAATTAGTGTAGAAGTGACTAAATCTTTACAAAGATTGTCAAGACTGTAAAACATTTTAAAGATAGTTTAAAGAAAATCTATATTTTCCAGTAGAATGCCCCCGTAAAGGGAGGTTTCTTACCAGTTACAATTTCTTTGAAAGACGCCTATGTGTATTCATACTTGTTGAATATGGCACTCCCCTGTGGAGATGAACTACAAAGCTCTCTTCAAAGTTGTGTCTGCTGGAGGGGTGTGAAAGTGCACTCTTGTGACACTGACATTTGAAGTCTGAGGCTGTATAAGGGAGTGCTCCCCCAACCCTCTTAATTCCTTCTCTTAAATCAGAGTCCTAAGTACATAAAGAAATCTCAGACAGAGGAGGTGGTAGGCAGGAAGCGTGGATACATAGAGTAGACTTAGAGCAACTGTTACTAGCAAGCAACCTCTTTCTTCAGGGTGCTCTGAGCTTTCCTACTCATGGGAGACTAGCAAATAGTACTGCCCAGGAGGAATCTGGGCTACGCACTGTTGAACCATTCTCCCAAACAGACCACTGGATCATGATGCAAGTATAAAGAGCAGTGCCTGGAGGTGGGACACACCAAACTTCACATTGCTCTACATAACTCCACTAGTGAGTTGTGCTTAACATATTCTACACAAGCTGCAGTGTCTCTAGTCAAGTAAGAGCTTGGCTACACTTGCGAGTTACAGAGCAATAAAGGAGCCCTGGGCACATTAGCTCACTGCCCGTCCACACTGGCAAAGCACGTAGAGCGCTGTGACTCCGCGGCTACAGCACTGCTGGTACTCCACCTCGGAGAGTGGAATAACGTTTGCTGCGCCCCCGCAGGAGCACGGCGCCAGTGTGAACGAGGTGTTGCATTACTGCGCTCTGATTGACCGCCGGAAACATCCCATAATCCCCTTAAGTCAAGTGGCCACTCTTGTCATTGTTTTGAACTCGCTGTAGGAATGCGGATAGGCCCTTTCAAAGCCCGTTTCTGACAGCCGGCATGCTTATCTGCTCCGGGACAAAGGAATGCTGCTTGCTTTGAGTGAGTGAGTGAGTGAGTGAGAGAGGTGCGCGCGGGGATGAGGGGTCTGCTGCTCTCTGAACTTACAAGACAGCATGCTGACACGCTCTCAGCCCCCCAAAAACCCATTCTACCCCCCCCCATACACACACACTCCCTGTCACACTTCACCCCACGCATTTGAAAAGCACGTTGCAGCCACTTGCATGCTGGGATAGCTACCACAATGCACTGCTCTTTGTGGCTTTGCAAGAGCTGCTAATGTGGCCACTCCAGTGTGCTTCCAGCTGAGCGTGTAAACACTCTGCAATGTTTTCCCTGCGGCGGTGTCCGAAGGCTGGTTTAACTCCCAGCGCTCTACAACTGCAAGTGTAGCCATGCCCTAAGTCCTCAACCCTGTAAGATACTGGTCCTTCGAGTTCTATATAACTCAGATAACCTGTGTAGAGACAGGCTCTCCCTGACAGCTTTACCCACATGCCTGTCTAATGGGTTTTGTTTACTTGAGATAAAAACAAAGGGCTCTTTTTTCTTATAAAGTATGACAATTTATTTCCCCTGGGTGGGCATACGGTCATCTCATGAGCCACAAATAACTCTTTAATTTGGCTCTTGGCAGCACTGATATTAAACCACTGTGATTTAACTATTAACCAGACTATGTTATTAACCAATCAGGATGCTTTTACTATGTTATTAGCCAACTGTAGTTGATAAAATAGTAATACCTGGTCAGTCATTTTGCAAACCTAAATATTTTCCATGTCTTACTGTTTAAATATGAATATATAGTACTATAGTCAATGAAACAATGAATTCACACTACTGCGGCTCTTTTGGGTAATGTTGATTGCTAATTTGGCTCCTGAACCTCTGAGGTCTCAGTATCACTGGTCAAAGAACACAAGAGAAAAATATATTGGCTAAGGTGGAAGCCAGATATCACTTAAGATAGGAAGCTATTGTGAGGTCTAAGCACCACTTTCTTTGGGCACTACTGCACAGGGAGGAGTAATCACTAGAGCTTAGAGCTCATCAACTCTTCTCACTGGTGTGGTTGCTCTAAAGAATGCTGTTTTCAAAGACAGGTTTTCTAAAGGAACATCCCTGAGAGATTCAAAGGGAGACCCCCCCCCCCTTAACTTGGTGAGCACTAAATTTAAATCCAAGGAATGTGAAGGTTTCTCTTGCTGGGGAAATTATTAGTAAATCCTTTAAAAATCTGGCTACTGTAGGATGGGAATATATTTTTCCTTCCATTGGCTGGTGATTGGCTAAGAAAGCAGTAAAGTGGACTTTCAGAGAGACTAACAAGACCTTGGGACTGGAGGTGCAACAAACAGTCCAGTACCACAAGGATGCCTGCTAGTGATGGGGTACGACTCTTACTGCTAGACCACATCTTTAGGGGCTAAACCTAAGGATTTAGGTATCACGGCTGAGAGGCAGAGGCTCCCCTTCTGCTCTCTGCAGTGAAAGAACTGAGATGGCTGGGGCTATGCTCCTTTTGTGCCCTCAGATGGTAAATATCAACATCACAAGCGGGCACAAACACCCCAGCCTACCCCATCCGCAACAGATGTGGCTTTGAAGAGGGTCCCACACCTTGTTGCCAAGGGGTGCCACATCCCACAAGAGAAAACAAGAATTAACAGTCATGGTTTGACTAGGACTGCTTTGGATGCTGGGAATTGTTCCCAAGTATTTAGCCTCTGCCAATGTCCCAAGGACTGGGCAGCTGAAGGCAACTCCATCATTGCTGCATAAATCACCTCTACAGCTGCTCAGGCAATATGTGAACAGCTTGTTGCTATCCTGCTGACTGCCCACAAATATGCCAGTTCAATGCACCAAGCCAGCCACTTCGTAGCTATTCTCAGTGGGAGCTCAAGACAGCTACTTCCACTGAAGCACAGAGGCCCAATGTAGGTTCCCAGGAATATGTACTCTACACTCATGAAAAGGTAGCCAAGTGGGGAGAATTCTGTATTTGGCAGAATCCTTCCTTCTCGATGGGAAACAAGAGAGCAATGCTACAGGGTAGAGCAACACAGACATGATTCTTTCATTATTTATCTATAGTGGAACAGCTTCAATAGGAGAGTGAGGGAGCCCCTAATATTTACTAATAATTTACATCAGAATCCCATAGCTCAGTGGTAAGGGCACTCACTCACCTGAGAAGTGTTGGATAGGATTTGAACTGGTTTCCCCGTTCAAGCAGAAGGGGAACTTGAACTGGGGGGGTGTCTCATGCCCCAGCTGGGCACACTAACCACTAGCTAAAAGTTCTGAAAGAGGTCATCCTCCTCCTCTCCCATTCCTGGCCTTCTTGTGAAAAACAGTGTAAGTGCCTAACAACAAGAGAGGGTTTGCAGCTGAAAATCCCAAGCAAAGGGAGGCACCTCCCTGAAGCCTGGACTTCGGACCCTATCTCTGAGGGGGCAAGGCTTAGTACACACCCCTAAGCTTGGCATCTCCCACTGGGTACCTCAGGCAAGGAGCCACCACGCTTTTGTGAATCCCATTGTGAGGACCCTGTCTCTCCCCATTCATTGTATAGTGAGCCTAGGCACCAAACTCACTCAGGGTTTGTGAATCGCAGTTATTTCCAAGGCGCAAAGACAATCAGTGTCCCCACATCTAAATCGCTTTGTGAATCTAAACCTAAATCCCCTCACCACCACCACCGCAAACACACACACACACACATCAACGAAGTCACTCACTGGACAGGATTTTGACTAATTTCTAAAAGTTGTCCATCATGATAAAAATCTTAAACTCATACCCTATCACAGTTGCTTTATCTTTCACCTCTTTTTCTCCTGGGTGGGGGGGAGAAAGAGAGGGGAGGGAGAGAAGGAAGAGAGACAATTCTCTAACTAGACATAGGTAGATGGATCTGATGTGGTCATCAGCACATACTGTTAACTAACAATGTTAAACTTGTCCTGGATATAAAAACACTACCAAACCTCTATTTACTCTCACGCACCCACCTTTTTCTCTCTCTTCATCACTGACCATCGCTTCCCAGTCATCCAAACCCGCATCTGCCATTTCTTCTTCCTCCTTTTCTTCTGAAACTGAAAGAATTCCATATATGAATAAATCTTCACTAGGATTAGAATATCCATGTTATATAAAACTGCAAGAAATACCAACAGATGACCAAAATGAAAATTGAGAGACTTATTTTTCTTATGGCAAAGTGGCAACTAACTCTTTTAAGCTCACAAAACTAGCATTACAGAGTAGCTCTAGAATTTTCAGATTCTAGTGTTGCGGAGCTCCCCAGATAATTCATTATGAGTTAAGGGGGGAGGGGGGAGAAACGGACAATAAGACATGCTAGTCTATGTAGTAGTCCTCAGTAACATCATATGCCCCCAAGAAATAAATCCACTCTCCTTTTGTGAGATCATACAATCCAGCATTTTGGGTAACAGATCCATCCTACTAATGAATTTGTGACAGTCTTATCTATTCAAAAAAGCTTGCTTACATCTCAGAGAACTCATCTCTAAAGGCCTCTGCGCTTTGCACGTTTAGTATTTGGCTGCTGTATCACATGCCCCTGTGTCAAGAGCCACATGTCCTTAATAGTATAGTCCCCAATTAATAATTATCCACATGTAAGAGATACTCCTGGGGGAATTCTGTGCCACTGCGCGTGCACAGAATTCATGTCCCCCCCAGATTTCTTTGCTTCCCCGCAGAAAAATGGCTGTCAGGGAAGCAAAGGGAAGCTGCAAAAGCAGTCATGCACCACTCCCTAGCAGCACAGGTACATCGTTTCAGGCACCCGGAGCAGGGCTAGGGACTCTGGTGTCCCTAGTTCACCATAGGGCTAGGGACACCAGAGTCAGTGGCTCCTACCCTGAGCCAGGATCAGCTGCTAGTCCAAGCTGAAGACAGGAGAGGATGAGACTTCCTCTTCCCCTGCAAGGAGTTGCTGGGGCTGTGTCAGACCCATGCCCAGAAACCTCTCCCAGCTGCAGGAAGCTCAGCATCCTCCCCACATCGCTCCTCAGCTGTGGGGGGAGGGATCACTGTACAGGGAGCTGCTCCCCCATCCACCCACCCCGTGCATCTGGACCTCCTATATTCAGACAACCTTACCAAGCCTCACCTGGTACATCCAGAACCCCCCCTAGCCCTCCATACCTGAACCCCACCCCACTGAACCCCCTACCTCCAGACCCCCACCCCTTGTACCCCACATCCAGACTCCCATGCCACTAACCCCCAACTAGCTGCACCCAGA